GCCTTGGCCAAGTGGGAATTATCTGTCAAGAGAGATGGAATATTCAACGAAACAGTGCTCCCACAAGCAGTAAGGGAGGTGGTTCTCAAGGATTTTGAGCTGGCTTGTGGATCCTATTAGTAGTTTAGTAGTAGATTTTGATTGGTTTTTTTTTTGTAGTACTTTTATTTACTTTCCCACTCTGTTCCTCATCTTGCACCAGCAAAAAAAAAGGCAGCAATTCAACGGGTGCCGACACAGGGGCTCCATATTTTTTTATGATTGATTATGAATAAAACAGTAATTTTTCTTTTCTTAGTCTTCTCTTCTCAACGTATACAATACTATTTTGTATATATTTTGATATCACATTATCATTAATGCTATTGCAATTTAAAATTTTGACCCACTTTATTTATCTAATGATGTGTCATGTAATATAATTCCAATTAAAAAATTCAAGAGTATTAGTTATAATTATATTTTGTATATTTATCTAATATTACAGTTAGGATATTGAATTTTAACTTATGAAAATACAATAACGGTTAAGATTAATCCAGTTTTTTTTTTTTTGTACTTTATTCCAATGGTACAAAAATCATTTCAAATTTTTTTTTTCTTTCAAAATATCATTTTTTCTACACGGTCCTAATTATTAAATAACTCAATAACGCATTTGTTAACGTTACACAACTCAACTAATTCACACCCATCTCTCTCTCTTCTCTTTTTTATTTTTATTTTAAATTATGTAATTAAAAAAACCTATTTAACATATAAACGTTGCACGACCGATGTTTAATTTTTTATATTGTAGAGTGTTTCCGGGCATATGGTTATTGTTAGTTTTTTATGTTACACCATCAAGTAATGAGTATTATTTATTGAGATTTAAAATTTTGGCCCACTTTATTTATCTAATGATGTGTCAAGTAATATAGTTCTATTTAAAAAATTCAAGAGTTTTAGTTATAATTATCCTATTGGATCATATCAATTGTAAGCTCATTTTATCAATAAGTTAGATCAAAATTTTAATCTAAAAATAAATTAATCTTAAATATTTTATCCTCCTTTTATATGCTAATTCACAACTACAAATAACTAAATACTATCGGTAACCGATTCTCCTATATTTCAAACCATAATTAATCTAATTAGTTTTTTCTCAATCGATCTTTTAAAATGTATTTAAAGTGTATAATGGACATATTTTTTTCTTACTCATATTTAAAAAAAATAAAAAATAGAATTAATGACATCTTCATGCTAGTGTCTCCTTTCCCATTTCTCTCATTCTCGGTCAATTAAAAGAATTTTTTTTTTCTCCCACAAACTTAAAAGGATATTATCAAAATGTTGAGAATTTTGTGAAATGGATCAATTTTCTGATGATGATAACTTAGATTTATTTTTCAAAATAAAAATCTAGCAATAGTTTTATCGACAACTATTAACACTTCAATAGAAACATTAAGCTGTATAAAAACTAGAATTTTTTTTTTTTATGGTGTTGAGATTTTTTTTTTCAAATGCATGTATTTCTTATACAATATTGAGAATACCTGTAACATTTACTCTCACAAAAATAAAATAAAATAAAATATTTAATATTAATAAAGTCCTACGATCAATTTTACATTTCAAAAAGAAAGAAGGATAATTTTAAAATAAAATTTTAGTTATACTACTAAATTATATAATAATATTAAAGTTTAAGAGACCCCGTTTGCAACTTCTCCCACCCTTACTTTGGACTCCCAAGCTAAGAATGTACACACTTGACTCTTCTGGAGTCTTCCAAATGTCGAGATTTGTCTCACCCAACTATACTTGGTAGATCTTCTTGACTCTTTTATGGCTCTAGTGAAGTCTTTAAGGCTTTCCTCCATTTTTCCACTTAAGGTAAGTTAGCTCCACCTAATAGTTGTTCTTGGCAAACCAGATCAACTTAGATGGCATAACTGTCTTGCTAACACTTAGGGTTGGTTCAGTGGTCAAGTCTAATCTCTTGAAAGTAAGCTTGACACAAGCTTGAATACCCTATAGCAAATAAAAACCTCTGTCTTGATATCCCTGAGTTCCAGTCCAGCCCAACTTTGCATCAATCCTAATCAGTGGAGGGCCAACCCATAATCCTGTTGCGATGGACATCATCAGTCCTTATCCCTTTGTAATAAACTGGCTGAAAACATCTATAAAATGAGCAGAAACACAAGTATCAACTAGACAGTATTTTGCTTCCAAAGCATTGAATTCATTTGAATTTTCTTTATGACCTAAGTGGCAGAGGATCGACCCTGGAGCTCCTCTGGTCCTCGACTTTTGTTTTAGGTGATTGTGATCTAGTCAGATGCTACATCTATATTGAGGCTATGATATAACTCATGAAATTGCAAATACTAAAAATCTTAAACTTGGCAATCATAAGAAATGAGATAAAAGAAAAGTGAAGTAAGTCAGAGAAAAAAAAAATCATGTATATATGCATGACATATAAGTGCATCCCAGGCCTTACACAAGGTTACACCAAATTTAAATTTGAGTAACAACATGCAACAAATAAGTTACACCCCTTTGATCAACCTCATATAAAATAAAGGGAGAACCAAATCTTGACTCAAAATTAATGTTGACTCGAATTCTTAACTGACATATTTCAGTCTCCTCTTTGCATATGCGTACCCTATCTCCATCTCCTTTTGATTCAATCTCCATTTAAACTCATCAGTAGGTTTAAGAAACATAACTCAATTCAATTGAAGTTCAAATCATTTTAGACTAAATTTTGTTTTTTGTTTTCAAATTTTAGCAATCAAGGGTGATTAAGCCAACATAATTTTAGTAGGATGAACCATCTGATAGTGTTTTGATTCTCTATGCATAATAAATTCTAGCCAAGCATTTCATAAAAAAAAATTTGATCTGCTATGATACAAATGGTCTTAGCAGCACCACGCCAGTAGAAAGAGTTAAGCTACTAAGCTAAGCTACTATTGGGGAACTCGGTAGAAGCGATTTGCCAAAAGTTTTGAATTGTTAAACTTCTAGAGACACTCATATTTANCTTTTGTTTTAGGTGATTGTGATCCAGTTAGACGTTGCATCTATATCGAGGCTATGATACAACTCATGAAATTGCAAATACTAAAAATCCTAAACTTAGCAATCATAAGAAATGAGATAAAAGAAAAGTGAAGTAAGTCGGAGAAAAAAAAATCATGTACATATGCATTACATATAAGCGCATCCCAGGCCTTACACAAGGTTAGATCAAATTTAAATTTGAGTAACAACATGCAACAAATTAGTTACAACCCTTTGATCAACCTCATATAAAATAAAGGGAGAACCAAATCTTGACTCAAAATTAATGTTTGACTCGAATTCCTAACTGACATATTTCAGTTTCTTCTTTGCATGTGTACTCTATCTCCATCTCTTTTTGATTCAATCTCCATTTAAACTCATCGGTAGGTTCAAGAAACATAACTCAATTCAATTGAAGTTCAGATCATTTTAGACCGAATTTTGTTTTTTGTTTTCAAATTTTAGCAATCAAGGGTGATTAAGCCAACATAATTTTAGTAAGATGAACAATCTGCTAGTGTTTTGATTTTCTATGCATAATAAATTCTAGCCAAGCATTCCATACATTTTTTTTTTATCTGTCATGGTACAAAGGGTCCTAGCAATGCCACGTCAGTAGAAAGAGTTAAGCTACTATTGGGGAACTCGGTAGAAGCGATTTGCCAAAAGTTTTGAATTGTTAAACTTCTTGAGACACTCATATTTCTGCTATTGAAATTATGGGGCCATTGATGTATTCATGTATGACTAGAAAAGGATTACAACATATATATTAACTTGTGAATTAACATAGCAATGCAGAGTGATTTGTGGTTAAACTATCAGCTTTTCAATCTATAACCACATCTAAGGAGTTGATGTAACTAGAAGAATTACACAGCAAAGCCTCTGACTCTCTGGATTCTCCACTGAATGCTTGCTCAAATGGTGCATCTTGATTAGTTTGACAAGGATCAGGAGGCATTTGCAAACGTTCAACTTCCCCTTCTAGCATCTCCACTACCTTTCTCATTGAAGGACGGCCAATTGGATTTGTCTGGATGCACCATAATGAAACCAAGGTCATCTTCCTAGTGATTTTCTTTTCATCATCAGTTGCTTCTTCAATTTCAATTTCCTTGCCTTTATTGAACTGATCGTAAATCCAGAATGGAAAGTATTGGGTAGAATTCTCTTCAGTGTGCATCAATTCTGTCTTTAATCCTATCATTTCCATCAATAGCATTCCAAAGCTGTAAACATCAGCCTTATGTGAGACACCTCCGATGCTTCTGTTGATCAATTCTGGAGCTACATAACCTACTGTTCCCCGAGCTGCAGTTAGATTCACAATGCTCTTATCAGTTGGATACAATTTGGCTNCGATGCTTCTGTTGATCAATTCTGGAGCTACATAACCTATTGTTCCCCGAGCTGCAGTTAGATTCACAATGCTATTATCAGTTGGATACAATTTGGCCAGCCCAAAGTCAGAAACTTTTGGAATGAAGTTATCATCTAGAAGAATGTTGTGTGGCTTGATATCAAAATGGAGAATCTGAATATCACAGCCTCGATGCAAGTATTCAATTCCACGAGCCACACCAAGTGCAATCTCATACTTCTTCTCCCAGCTCAAGGAGATACTTCCTTCTCGAGGAAGGATGTACTTCTCCAGTGAACCATTCGGCATGAATTCGTACACAAGAGCGCGCTTGGATCTCTCAGCACAATATCCAATTAGTTGCACCACATTGACATGGTGAATCCTTCCTATCGATGCAACTTCATTGATGAATTCTTGCCCATTAGCTTTGGATTTGCCCAATATCTTTACTGCTGCAAGTCGGCCACTTCGAAGCTTTCCTTTATACACAGTACCATAACCCCCTTCACCCAATTTGTCCTTGAAGCCTTTTGTCATCTTTTTAACCTCTGAATAGGAGTACCTAATGGGCATGAGGTTATTCTGACTTTGTAGAAACCTTTCAATTGCATCAAACATCGACAAATGCCTTCTTCGCAGTTTATAGATTATGAACACAAATATGCTTGGTAACCCAATTAGAAATTTTGCTGCAATGTGCAGTCCTGTTCAAGAAAATTGAGAGGAAAGCCATGAGAAACTGATCCGGTGCTTTATCATTAGAACCATGGTTAAAGACGACCAGTCTAGTGCACTGCTCTTGTACTACTGTAGGATCTAAAGAGGGGCAAGTGTACACAACTTTACCCCACATGCAAAGAGACTGTTGGTTTGATTCGAACCCGTAACGCTCAGGTCACAATGGATCAACCTTATAGCTACGTCAAGACTCGCCCTCACTATAACTATGGCTCTAAGTTGAAAAAACTTCTAAACATAGGCCTTTTTTATACCCCACCTATTTGGTATATGCAGTCCAAAACACATCACTTCTCTACATGATTACCACCTACACACTTAGCTAAAGCAACATAATTTGAAGACTGAGAAACTCAAAAATCTTTCTGTACGCTCCGTCACTGTCTCTCTTCACTTCTTATTCAAATGAATGGGTTAGGTTTCCCTCTTTTTTCTGGTTTCTATTTCTCTTATTTACATTCCTTCAAAACTATCAAAGCAGTTGTGTACTACTGTAGAACATATATTAATAGTTAAATTAGAAAAGATGCAGGGGCTTACCTACGATAAACATAATGGCTATCTGGATATCTGCAAAAATGCAACACAAGTAATTAAAACAAGAGGTTCATGTGTGTAAGTTGATCAGCATGAGTCAAATTCAGCTTTGCAAATAACAAAGTTCACATTTATTGCAGGGAAGGGTTGAGCCCATGCTTAGCAATTTTCATTTGGACACCATTGCCTAGGCTTGAGGCCCCAAGTCATATTTAGTTTTTTCTTCCCCGTGTAAAGGGAAAACATCCAATCACCCATCTTTTGGACACATGGTCATAAAGCAAATATTTGAGTACACACAAATCACCTGGTGATCACACGTACCAATCTAATAAGAAATTTCTATGGTTAGGAGAGTTGAACTTGGGATGTAGTGTTAGCATACGTTTCCCTCCCCATGTTCCAAGTTAAGTCATGTTGGAATCTGCCTAGGTGGTAGAGAAATAAACATGTAAAGAAAAAGAAAGAATACTTACAGTAAAAGATGACCAAAAAATTTCCCTTGCCGCCTGTATTGTTCACATAAAGATTACCATCAGAGAATAAAACAATAAAACATAGTAAAAAGGGGAAATTTAAACCGGAAATAATCCTATCAGACTTTTTAACAAGTTTTTTGTTACATAATACAGCTTTATGGGACGCTGCTAGCATGTTAAACTAAATTGATCTGTCTTCCTATGTACTCTGTTATATATTATTCAGTTTAAAATCATATGAGATGCTTTGTCATTTAATTAGTTTCTCAATTTTGTCATTTAATTAGGTGAACAAGTTAGGAAAATTAATACCGTTATTCTTTGAAGTTTGATTTTTTGTAACACATTGCTCCATAATGTTAGGTTCCAAAAAAAAATTGCCGTCAATTTTGATGATATTCTATAATAGATTTTGAAGTTCTATCAATATGTCATTAATCAATAATTTTTTTTCAAAATTATCCCCCTCATAAATCTGTCTAGTCAAACCCACAACTGTACACTCTCCTGCAGATTAAGTGAAAATTACCCCATTAGTCCATAAAGAATCGATCAGGTAAAGGCGAGAAGAAATCAGACTAGCACACACACACACATATCTATATACATATATATATTTCTATTTTCCGATTTCTTACCGCAATTGTTGGGGAATCTGTTGGCGAACCGTAATGGTATAGTTCCGAGTGACAGAGTCAATGGCGCAGTATAGAGTGACAGAATCAATGGCCCAATAACGAATTCCAGACTCAATGGCGCAGTTCTGAATGACAAACTCAATGCCGCAGTCTCGAATAACAGATGCAATGGCCTAGTCCTGAATTCTATTAGCATGCTAGGAATGGAGCAATCATCTGTTTTGAACCATGAAAGCTCAAACCCATATTCTATGGCATCGTAGATGTCTGAAAAAGAGATATTATTATGATCCTTAAACGCCCACGATGTCATCACCATTAGCTCTATACTGCACCTCTCTCTCACTTCTGCTGCCATCAACCGGCCAACAATGACATAAGAGTGTATTCTGGAAGAGGAGGAGAAAGAGGAGTTTGCAGTATAAACTCCACTGATGCAGTGCCCTATCTCCAGGTAGAAACGAGAATCTACTGGATATGGGCAATTCAGAAAACTTACAGGCTTGTTTGTCTGCTCGGAAAATTGGTTTTCAATGCTATATGGATCTTGGAAAGTGAAGTTGTAATTGGTTAAAGAATACTGAGGAAGAATGGAGCAATTATCCTTTTTTTTTACAGCAGAATCAACAAGGCGGATTGTGAAGTTAGGATAGTTGATAGATTGAACGAGGTATTTATGTTTATGGAAACCCAAGTATAAAACTGCAGCATTATTTTCACAAGCAAGCTCATATTTGGGGTGACCACAATTTTTTGGATCATCTTTCAATCGGAAAGGGTAACTGATGTTATGGATATTGCCACAGGAAGAAAGGTCACAGAGATGATTCTGCTTACACCAACATGGTTGAGGGAAGTGGATGAGAACAAGGACTGTGATGAAACCCACAACAATGAGATTTTCTCTCAACATTGGAGGGGAGAGAGAGAGAGAGAGAGAGAAGGAAATAGGTATGCAATTACACTATTAAAGCGAAAACACGAAACCTGCACAAGATAACCTAACCGGGTGGAGTTAATTTTATATTGATATTTCATCAATATAATAGACACATGTGATTTACTTCTGATTTAAGGTATCGAGGTTATTTTTCCTCAGTTCACAGAGAAGGTCTCGGATGTTTTTCCTGTGCTTAAAAAAAACATTCACATCGTGTATGACCGAATACGTTTTTTTATGTTTGTTTAATGACCGGATACACCAACTATTTACATTCACATTGATTAGTCTTCTGAGGAGTCAAGACGAGAGACGCCAAAGGTCCCACCTTATCACTAGTATGTGGATTGTGGGCGTCAACCCAGTTTTGGTGCCAACATGTTACAAGTCTGCTGCATCACAGGTTAGGCCTGCCATGACTTTGAATAGTGAACTGCATCACAGGCTAGGCCTGCTGCATCACAGGTTAGGCCTGCCGTGACTTGAATAGTCAAAGTCGTCATTATACGAAATTTGATTTGAAAAGTAAGAAGACATTTTTAATTTATTTTGACAAAATAAAAAAAGAGAAGTTAGGAGAAAAAATAAAGGTCATTATTACCTTACCGTGGACACTGTAGGCATCAATTTATCAATCTTATTTTAATTACAAACATGATAGGCCAAGTCCGTCTCGACTTAAATAATCAAAGTCAGTCAACGAAAGAAAGTTAATAAAGTACGAAATTTTTTATAAGTAACATGATTCTCACTCTTCTCTTATAAATAATTAATTAAAAAATATTTTAATTATTTTTCAATGGTAAAATTTATCCAAATTAATAAGTTTAATTTATGTTGAATTATCAATTTTAATATATATTTCGAATTAATTGCTAGATTTCAATTGACTTATACTTTTCAACAAAACCACGTAGAGACAATTTACACAATATTTTTAAATTTAAAAAAATTTTGATATGAATTTAAAAATCACACAACTTATAAATTTAACGCAATATAAAAAGGACATGAATTTAAAAATTATATCAAAATAGTCATTATTGAAGTATAAAATGAGAGGATACAAAAACTACGCAAAGAACAGTAACAGTTATTGTAGAATACCATTTGTCGAATGTACTTAAATCAATTGAGCAAACACTGGGTAGACAATTTGAAATGGCCAGCAGCTTTCTTTTTCTTATTCACTTCTTGCTCTTTGTGTTCCTTCCTCTAACCCTTGAAGCAGCCCAAGAAGATAAGCGCAGGGTATTCAGGTGTAGTCGCCATGGCCCATCAATCCGATTCCCATTCTGGGTTAAAGCTTTCCACTCAGATTGCTACCGCTATCCTGGGTTCGAGCTGTCCTGTGACAAGAACAAACAAACAATCCTTGATCTTCCCTTTTCTGTGAAGCTATTTGTCAAGAAAATTGATTATAAATCTCAAGTTATTCGATTGTATGACCCAGATGGCTGCGTTCCGGCAAAGCTTCCAAACCTCAACTTGTCTGCCTCTCCTTTCCAGTTCAATGAAATATACTTAGGTAATTACTCGTTATTCAATTGTTCTGCGCCAGGCAGACAAATTTATCTCTCGATTCCTTGCCTTCGAGCTTCCGCCTACCAAGTGTATGCCATAGATTCTAGCTCGAACATTCATTATTATCCTTTGACATCATGCATCAACATTCATAACTTAGAAGAATCGGTGCCCTATAATATATTTCATCAAAGAGGTAAGCTTCAGTTGAGATGGTCGGAACCAAATTGCAGATTCTGTGAAGCTGAAGGCAATATTTGTAGATTGAAGGATAATACCACAGAAAATGAAACTGAATGTGTTGCCAAATCCAAAACACGCAAAGGTATTTTATTTATTTTATGTTTTGCTTTAAATTTAGTTCACATAGGAAACATCAAACTTCTTCACTAAGAAGGAGCAGAATTCTAAGAGTTATCACCGACTGCTTAATTAAATTATCAATGCTATTGGGTCTAATTTATTCACTTAATTTGTTCTCCTAATTTAATGATCCTCGGTGTCGATACAACAGTTACAATATAACTAGATCATTAATTTAATAAATTAGGTCATATTTTTAGATCTAAATAACATTATTTCAAATAAAAACCCAACAGTAATTTGGCATTTGCACTATTAACTATTGCAGGATTTTTTTTCTTGTGATGCAAATTGTTTCAACCAAATGTTTTTGAGCCTCATAGTTGCAAAACAAACTCGGATACACATAATCACACGCACATCGGATAAACCCGTGTTAATTAGTGAAATTTAAACTCCGAACGGACACACTCACATGTTCTACCACTAAACCAATGTGGATTTACTGTATATGTTATCAATGTGGTCTTTAATGGAAAATTTTAAAGTATCTTACAGGAGGCTCGTGTAAACAAGATTAAAAAATATATCTGTGGATGGAGCTATAAAGTGATGAAGTTGTTGAAAACTCTAATTACCAGTGTGGACCTTAGCATGAAGAATCCTTGAGTGTGTTGATTGCTAATAACTAATGTTTTTAGGTTTTTTGTGGTATTGCTATTTTCGCGAGCATAAGAAGCTAACAATGTCTTTATTCTTTACAGGTCACGAATTTAAGAAACGATTGCGGACAGGTGATGTTGTCTTTTGTTTTTGGGGGTGAATGACACTTTGTTTTCTAAGTAATTTTACAACTTTCACTTTATCTTGAAAAGGATTATAAATGTCATATTACATGTTTGAATTTCTTGGTAGCATTATACTTATATCCCCTTTTTTTCCACAAAATTATGCCCTACATTAGGAGATAAGGGACACAATGTTTCCATTTAAAAAAAAATTCGAAGTGCAATGTGATACTTTTAGTCATTAGAAGGATAAAGTGAATTTTAAATTAGTTTGGGAAAACGTTAATATTGGCCTATTGGTTTTCCCTTTAGGTGTAATTCTAGGAATCTATTAGAAATACAAGCTTTCTTAACTCATTATGTTTTATGTGCAGGTTTAATTTTAGGTTGCTTTCTTCTTCTAGCAGTTCCTGTACTCTATTATTTCTATAGCTCANTATTGGCCTATTTGTTTTCTCTTTAGGTGTAATTCTAGGAATCTATTAGAAATACAAGCTTTCTTAACTCATTATGTTTTATGTGCAGGTCTAATTTTAGGTTGCTTTCTTCTTGTAGCAGTTCCTGTACTCTATCATATCTATAGCTCAATTAAAATGAAAAAAGAGAATGAAGTAAAAATTGAAAAATTTTTGGAGGATTATAGAGCTCTTAAGCCCACAAGATACTCTTATGCTGATATCAAAAGGATCACAAATCGTTTTAGTGACATATTGGGTGAAGGAGGTTACGGAACCGTTTACAAAGGAAGGCTTTCTGATGACATTTTTGTTGCTGTGAAAATCCTCAATAGCTCAATGGGAAATGGGGACGATTTCATCAATGAAGTTGGAACCATTGGGAGAATTCACCATGTTAATGTGGTTCGTTTGGTTGGGTTTTGTGCCGATGGATTTAGAAAAGCTCTTGTATATGAGTTCCTTTCGAATGATTCACTGGAAAAGTTCATATCTTCAACAAGCTCTAAAAATAAAACTCTTGGTTGGAAGAAGCTTCAAGACATTGCTTTAGGCATAGCCAAAGGGATTGAATATCTTCACCAAGGGTGCGACCAAAGAATCCTGCATTTTGATATTAAACCCCATAATATCTTGTTAGACCACAACTTTAATCCTAAGGTCTCTGATTTTGGTTTGGCCAAGTTGTGTTCGAAAGAACGAAGTGCTGTTTCTATAACTGCTGCTAGGGGAACAATGGGCTACATAGCGCCCGAAGTGTTATCAAGACATATCGGGAAAGTTTCACATAAGTCAGATGTTTATAGCTTCGGAATGTTATTGCTTGAAATGGTTGGAGGAAGGAAGAGTATTGATGTTGCAGTGAACAATACTAGCCAAGAAAACTCTCCAGAATGGATATATAATCGCTTAAACCAAGGTGAAGAGCTACGAATTCGGATTGAGGAAGATGGAGATGTTGAGATAGTGAGAAAGCTCACTATAATTGGATTGTGGTGTATTCAATGGTATCCGACAGATCGTCCTTCAATGAAAACTGTGGTTCAAATGTTGGAAGGAGGAGAAGACCACTTGACCATGCCTCCTAATCCTTTTGTTGCTACAAGTTCAACAAGAGTAAATGCAAACACACCTGCAAGAAGACCTCTTCAACAAGAGTTGGCAGTTATCAGAGAACTAGAGTGAAAATCTGAAGGCACCATGGTTTGTCAAGATAACTATGTAGTGAATCACGCATTAATGTATTGTTGGTTATCAAGGTTTGGATTTAGCTTCTCAAACTCTTTAATTTGTAGCAATTCAGAACTTGTAGAGAAATTATGATTGCCCAATCTGTAATAACTACAAATATTACTGTTGTATTCTTAAATTTAAGAGGAAACAATAATAATGCTACTGGCCTTCAATGGCCAAAAGTTAGCTGGGAAGTTATGGGGTGAAGTACATAGATAACCTTCTCAAACACGTACAATTGGTGTTTGAACATGGTATTTGAGCTAAAAATCTAATTGTATGTGAGAGATAATATTTATGTTACACTTTTTTTAACATTTTAAAGTTTTTTTTTCTTCAAACTACATTTTAAAGATTTCGGAAAATTTCACCAAGACCCCTGACATTTAACCAAATTACATGAATACCTCCTGAAATTACAAAAATAACACAACAACCCCTTGACATTTACAACTTGCAGACAAAACACTCCCTGTCTGAAACGGACATCAGAAACCCTAACAAAAAATGATGACACCAGAAAAATGATGCCCTAAGTTTCTCGAATTGCTCTAATTAGTCCTGAACCACCCTTTCCAAGTGGATTATAAGTTATAACATTAACTTTAAGCACCACCACACAACACCCAAGGCCACCCACCACTATAAGCACCACCACCAAACACCACTTTGACCACCACCAAACACCTCTTTGACCACCACCAGAACGACAGGAGCACAAAAACATTCAAGAAAAAGGAACAAAAAGATCCCACACCAATTTCCCAAAAATTATCCACAAATTTACCCAAACCCAGCAATCATTGTCTACCCAAGTATACAATTTCAACCAGTGTTGTTTTGTCTCTCCTCTTCAATCTCTTTCTGGTTGATCACTTCTCTACCCTAACTCACTAAATTGACACCTCTCTAGCTCTATCCTTTCTCTCTCTCATTTACTTTTCACTATCAACCGATGTCTATCTCATTGATCAAAAAGGGGTGCCAAGGACCACCAACCATACTAGTTTTCTTTCTTCTCCTCTTTTTTCCTGGGGTCAAAAGACTCATACCAGTCTAGAACACAACGCAAGGGAATTGACTATATAAAGTTGAGAAAAAGTTACGCTTTGAACCACTCAATTACAACCCCTTTTTTTAAAACTGTCCACTCAACTTTTTTTTTTATATATATAAATATTGTGGCTTTAATTAAGGGCAAAAAAATAGCGAACGTTTGAATTTGGGGGCAATTTGAAATAATTCAAGTAGTTGAAGAACAATGTAAAAATTTCATTAATTTAAGGAACAAAGTGAATTCGAGTCCATAATTAAGATCCAATGCGGGATAGACTGCGTTAGCTATACTTCCATGGAAAAATGATCAAAAAATAAGGTTTTTTTAATGTTAATATTGCATCAGTAAGAAAGAGTCATATGATATACATATTGATTATACGAGGGACAGGTTGGGAACATTATCAACTATAAAATGATATAATAAAATGAAAATATGATAATTTGTTAACCAATAGAAATTATTATCGTAAAATAAAATTCACATAACTAATCGCAAATAATTAGAGCAATACTTTCTCCACCTTTGGAACTATTTCATGGAATCTAGATTGAATGCTTTCAGTAACTTCAGAGTTCTGGCTCTTCTTTTTTTTTTTTTTTGTTCAATACAAAATTCACAAAACTTGGCACATGCAACTCTGTAATTAGGGGTGTCCACGGCCGAGCAGGGCTAACCCTGCGAATTTTTTTTTTAGCGGCCCGGAAAGAGTAAGCTCAAACTCTTATCCAAATGAATTATCGGACGGGTCGGGCCGGATTTTGGGCAGGGGTAGGCTACTTGTAGCCCATCCCACGAGCCTATTAGGCGGACTTGCTCGCGGGTATTATTTATATTCAACTTCATTTAAAAATAGTGAATATTTTTGTAAGTTAATATTTGTGTAAATTATATTTTGAATCAAAAGTTTAGTCAAAATGAATAAAAATAAAATAATAAATAATTTTATTTTTGATTAGATGAAGAACTACATTCAATAAAATGAATACATCTCAACTAAGTTGGACACCTATTCACTTATCTATCATTTTTATTACTCTACCATTTAAAATTTGTATGCTTAATACATGAAAAAAGAAAATAATAGGGGTGTTCAAATTTCTAATTAGCCGCAATTTCTTACCCTACCCGACCCTATTGAACGTCTAACCAAAAAAATCGGGTAGAAATATGGAAGAGATTTTGGTCTTCCGAGTAAATCAAGTAGGAATGCAGAATAGTCATTAATTTTTATATTTCTACCTTACCCTACCCACATGGGCGGAGCCACATGGGGATTAGGGTGGGCACTTGCCCCCCCCCCCCCTCCTCCACTCACTTTTGGACCACTTTAGATAAAGACCCATAAAATTATTTTATAAATTATATTTGGCCCCCTAAATTTTTGAAAATTTCTATGGTTCTAGTTTTTTTTCTTCAATAAATTAGTAGACCACTAACCCTCTAAAATAAATATGTTAGTTTTGGATTGAGTTAATGATCTATTTATATATTGATGAATATACAATATTTTTATTTATCTAACACAATATTCATTACTTTTTAAAGAATAATTTTTAATTATAATTTACCAATTTTTAAGTAATTGTAGTCTATAACCTAATAAAATACGATTATATACAAAAGATAAAAAATTGTAACCCAAAAATATTTCAAACTATTTCGAATAGAAAATTTTCATATAAGATGATAATGATCTCAACCAAATTTTACAACTGAATAAAGAATAATTTTACTACGGACTTGTGATTGTGAGCATTGATAGAAAATTAGTGAAAAATTAATTTACATTTAATTCATATACAAAATTTTAGAGATTTTTAAAAAATTTATATTTTATTGAAATATATAATTAGGTTAAAAATGTACTAAAAAATTTTTTTGTGTCTTTTTATTAGGATTTTGTTTTGACTAAATAAAAATTAAATTTACTATTTTACAATAATTTTGTTTTAATTCTTACTTTTTTGTTATTCTTGAACTGAATTTTTTTGTATCAATTTCAACTAAATATTGTTTTATACCAGTTATATTTTGCCCCCTCATAGACATTAATGGCTTCGCCTCTGGCAATATACATTTTTTTGGCATTTTTTATGTTAAAAGGGACTTCATGTATCAAATATAATATAATAAATATAAACATATTATATAATGTGATTGGTTAGGATGAAAAAAATTAGAGTGCGTAATTAAAGTGTCCACCCTGACCAAAATTCCTAGCTTCGCCCTTTCTTACCCACATTAATTTATATATATATATATTGTTATTTTTTTGTGTTTTAGTATTATTGGTTTATTGTATTATTAAATTAATGCATGCTATTTAATTGAATTGTTAAAATGATTCA